GCCACCAGGTCCAGGACCCTAACCACGGTCATCTACATAGCAGTCTAGCAACATAGCCATTACACCAACTGCTGGCCCCTCAAGGTAAGAATTTCTGTGCTTCAAAGAACCCTCTTAAGAAAGTAATAAGATAACTGATGTTTTGGGTTTTCTTAAATTGTTTTATTTATTGTCCTTTAATATATTAGTTTTTACTAAATATACCTATTATGTGATATATTTTATGTTTTACTTTTTTAAATGTGAATAAGAATATTTCAGTACAAAACTATCTTTGCTCTGAGGAATGAAGGAAAAACAACAACAACAAAGCGACCACAAAGGCCTATCAATTCCTCTAATGTTTCAGTTCAGGCAGTTGAAACCCTAGTTAAAACACTTGACCTCACTGCCCGCCCAAAAGGGAAGCCTATTTTCTTTCTACGTGACTAAACCTAGTAACTCAAGAGACAAAGAAAACAAATTTCCCTCCCTTTGGTCATCCTGCTCATTAAGCCTAGTCCCAAGAACAATTCAGGAGAAATTGTGGAAAAGCTGTATCATCTTAAAACTGGAATTGTCTAGTTGCTATATAAGGAAACAAAAGAAATTGAAATCTCACATCTGTGATCCAATTCCCCTGCCTAAGGTGGTCTGCTGGTGCAGGCCAGAGCCGAGGAAGAAAGGAGGGTAGAGGGTCTCCAGGACTATCAGCAAATGCTCTGTCAACCCCAGATCCTTAATACCAGGTGAGGGAGGAGGCCTGGCAAAGTGCACTTAATTATACCACTCAGCTCACCGGCTCCTGGGTTAAACCTGGGTAAATTGACCAGCTTCTCAAAAAAAAAAAAAAAAAAAATTTTTTTCTTCTTTCTTCCCAGTTCTACTCCTCTAAGCATGAGAAACAAAGATAATCACCTAGAACCAAGATTCTATTCAATCAGATTTACAAAACAGGTGGCTATACCTTTCCTAAATTACCGCCTTATACAAGAGAAAGCCAATTATAGTTAACATCACAAGATCTGGCTGAAAGTTAACGAAACTTTACCACCCTTTTCTATCCCTTAAGAAAGTTTCTTCTATACAAATAAAAAGTTTTTAGTACATGTGTTCTCAGCTCTGACTACATACACTCAAAGATTTTTATTTGACTAGTCTTTGATGACACTATATAAAAATTGTTTTAAAATTCCCTTTGGAGGCCAGCCTGTATCCTAGTGGTTAAGACAGCTGAATCCTACAAACACAACACTGGGGTTCAAGTTTAAGACCTGGCAGCTTGGAAAACCATACTGAGTGTGTGTGCACGCATGTTCAATATCCCAAAAGAGAAGTGTAAGAGAAGGATTGAAGCATGACATCCTCCCTGCAAGGAGGAGAGGGATGCTGACAGAGGTGCTTTCTCACTTTCTATCTCTCTCACTTGGTTTCTCTCTGGTGAGTGCATGCATCCTCTGGAAAATTTTTTAAATAAAATAAAATTCCCCTTGCTTCCAACGTGCAGCCAAGGTTGAGAACTACTAATTTTATGTTGACCCTCTACCAGGCATTTTTATTATTGTTCTTCTACATTATCTCATTTAATCTTCACAATAATACTGGGAGGTAGTTGTTGTTATTATTACAATTTGAGTATCTCTTATCCAAAATGCTCATGACCAGAGGTGTTTCAGATATTGAATTGTTTTTCCAGATTTTGGAATATTTGTTTATATATAATGAAATATCTTGGAAATGGGACTCAAATCTAAACACAGAATTCATTTATGTTTACTATCCACTTTATACACATAGCCTGAAGATAATTTTATACAATATTTTTGTATTGTACACCTTAACTGCAACCTTACATGAAGTCAGGTGTGGAATTTTCCATTTGTGGCATCATGTCAATGCTCAAAAAGTTTCAGATTTCGGGGCATATCAGAATTTAGAGTTTTGGATTAAGAATGCTCAACCTGAACTTGAGAAATAAAGAGACTGAGGGACAAAGAAGATTAAAAATAGATGTTCTAAGGTTTGAATTCAAGTCTGACTCTTTAAAATAATAATAGAGGTGTCCAACGGCTACGCTTTGCTGAGCTTCAGTAATGTTGAACACAGCTCCTGTACAACTCTACTCACCAACCAGGAACAGCAAGCAGGGCAGTCCAAGTCCAGCAAGCAGATTGATCAGCTCACAGATCCACAGCCAAAACATCAATACTTGCATCACAACAACATGCTTCCCATCTCTCCCTTACACTCGATCTTTCCTGCGAGTTATAGCATTGCGATTTTTTCCCCACCTGAGAAACCTGCTCACGTGGTATTTTCATTAACTGATAACACCAACCACTTTATCCAGAAAAGCGTTTCTCCCTAGACCTTCTCTCTTGCTGATAACCTTTTATATTTCACCCTGACCTTCCTGGTCAGGAAGCAATACCACCACCTGATCAACTCCCATCAGTGGCTCTCTTTCAGGTGGTTAGGAGGGGGAAGTTTATTCTCTCCTACAGCTAATACGGAAGTGGTTGGCTTTACTGCAGCTCAGCTCAGTTCAACCAAGCCAGGTCAAGATAACCAATATGAGGGGAACTTCACAGAAAAAGCAGAATTAAAGTATGAATGTATTTCAGTGGAAAAAAAAATGAAATAAACCTCTGATTGTGTTGGCCCTCTAGGTATAGCTTTACGGCTGTAAGCTCCCCTCCCCCACCCCTGCCAGGGACTCTCCTTCCAGACCCCAGTGCTAGACAGGACAGAAAGTATCCAGGCCAGTCCACCTCTGACTGTGTTGGCCCTCTGAGTGCAGCTCCATGGCTGTGAGGGCCCCCTAGCCAGGGACTCCCCTTCCAGACCCCAGTGTAGCCAAGTAGGCAAGTTTCACTGTCCCTCTTACTCTTCTCTGTCTCATAACTTTTTTTCTTTTTTCTCTTTAAAAAATAAATAAATAAAAATAAAAATAAACCATTTTTCTGCCCCGTTTGTTCCTTTCTCTCTTGTTAATTTGTCTCATCTCCCCTCAACTAGGACAGAAAGCATCCAGGTCAGTCCACCTCTGACCGCATTATCCTTTCATGTGGTTTTCTATTTTTAACCCAATTTCATTATCTACCACATGATTTCTGGTTTTTTCTCCTCTTCTTGTTCTAGTTCTTTCCTTCCCTTTTCTTTGCTTTTTCTTTCTATTTTTATATTTTACATTCTTTTCCTTTACTTCCCTGTTTTACTGCTCAACCCTTACCCACTTCCTAGAGAAGACTAAGTGCATAGTAGCTAAACATCTGAATATTGTGAATTTTAGATGATACCATGAAATGCCCAAACATCCAGATTATTGGTATCCCAGAAGATGAAGAAATCAATAAGGGCATTGATAATCTATTTCACATAATTCTGGAAGAAAACCTTCCAAATCTAGAGAGGCACTCAAATATCCAGACCCAAGAAACACAAAGAACTCCAAGTAGAATCAATCCAAGAAGATCCTCTCCACAGCACATCAAAGCTAGATTGGCCAAAACCACAGACGAAGACAAGACACTAAGATTGGCAAGAGAGAAACATCAAGTCACTTGCAAAGGTTATCCCATCAGTCTAACACTGGACCTCTCATCAGATACAATGCAAGCAAGGAAAGAATGGGGAAATATATTCAGTGTCAAATGAAAAACAATTTCAACCAAAAATACTAGACCTGGCAAGACTATCCTTCATATTGGGAAAAAAAGATAAAAATGTTCTCAGATAAACAAACCTAAAAGAATTTACCTTCCAGACCAGCTCTCCAAGAAATTCTGAAAGGAATACTATACCAAGAAAACTACAGATAGACAGACAGACAGCAATAAGAGAACAAAAAACAACAGAGTATATGGCCCACTTAATGGTAAGTACAAGTCTGGAAATACTGATAGTAACATTGAATGTTAATGGACTAAATTCCAATCAAGAGACACAGACTGGCTGAATGGATTAAAAATCAGAAACCCTCCAGATGGTTTTCTGCCTACGAGAAAGTCATCTCATGGTTAAAGACATACACATACTAAATGCGAAAGGCTGGAAAAAGGTATTCCATGCAAATGGAAACCAAATACAAGTGGGAGTTGCTATACTGATTTTGGACAAAATAGGCTTTAAGATAAAAATCATAAGAAGAGCTAAAGAAGGGCATTATATAGTAGTAAAAGGATTAATTCACCAAGAAGATGTAACACTTATAAATATCTATGCACCCAACTCAGGAGCACCCAAATATGTAAAGGAAAGACTGGTAGATCTAAAAGGAGAAATAGACTATAACATAATAATTGGAGATCTCAACACCCCACTGTCTCCTTTAGACAGGTCAATGAGACAAAAAATAAGAAAAGAGATTCTGGACCTAAATTATACCATAATTAGATGGACTTGATAGACATCTATAGAACTTTCCACCCCCACAAAAAGCACAAAATATACATTTTTCTCAGCCCCACATGGTACTTTCTCAAAGACTGACCACATGATAGGGCACAAAACCAGCATTTATAGATTCAAAGACATAGAAACTATATCCAGCATCTTTTCTGATGATGATGGAATTAAACTTGATATTAATCTCAGGAAAAACCCTCAAAAATAAACAAATACAAATACACAGAAACTAAATAACCTACTTCTGAATGACTTCATGACTACTGAAGAGATTAAAACTGAAATCAAAAGATTCATGGAAACAAATGACAATGAGAACACAAGTTTCCATAATTTATAAGACACTGCAAAAGCGGTCATCAGAGGGAAGTTCATAGCAATTAGTGCACACAAGAAAAAGGTGGAAAGGTGGCAAAAGGACAACCTAACGTCATGCCTCAGGGAATTGGAAAAACAACAACAGAAAAATCCCAAAAATTCCAGGAGAAAAGAAATGATAAAGATTCAAGCAGAAATAAATGAAATTGAAAATAAACTATTCAGAAAATAAATCATTGTATATCTTTTTTTCTTACAGATTTTTTTATTTTAATATTTACATAATAAAAATAATCTTAATCACTAAGTTCTTCTTCACTGAAATATGTGCTTTTCTTTATCCTGGGGCGTCTTGAATTATCTGATATTGAGGGACCACCTGAACTGGGTTTCCATTTTTTTTGTTCTTCAATTTTGGCTTGCTGGAATGCTATGGCCTGACTGAGGCTGTCCAGAGCAAGATCTTCCCCTTCATCTTCACTTTCTTGTATCCCCTCAATTTCTACTTCTGGCTCAGGAATTTTCTTTTTTTTCTTTTTTTCTTTCTTCTTTGGAGGTTCACGTTCTCCAAGCATATTTTTAGGACAGGCATAACTCAAGTGTCCACTTTCCCCACATTCATAACACTTAGATTTATCAAAGTAATTCCGCCTTCGGATGAACTCGGCTGCTCTTCCATTGTCGATAGCAATGCTTGCTTTAATCACTCTACCAAATAACTGTTTGTTGTTTATTGCCTTGGTGCAGTTTTGTGCAGAGTCTTTATCCAAAAACAATATAAATGCAACCCCTTTACTCTTCCTGGTATCTTTATCTTTCATTATAGTAACCTTTACAACTTTGCCGTACTTGGAAAATATCTGGTTTAAGTCATTGTTTGTCAGGGAAAAGGGCAAGTTGAATACATACACAGTACTCTTACTAGGAGCCAATCCACCACTCGTATCTTCAGGAGACACAGGATGCTAAACGAGCGGAGTCCTCAGCTCAGCTGCGGGATCTTCCTCGCTCCTCGCGGCGGCGGCCTTGGCATCACGGGTCGCGACAAGCCAGGCGCCCAAATGAAAAGCATAAGCAAGCATTGCCTCTTCCCAGCTCTCGTTAGACACGGCCCCAATCATTGTATATCTTTACAGCATACAAAATGATTTTTCCAGAATGAGTACACTCTACACTGCACATTAGTCCAAACATATTACCATTCACATTATCCCCATAAGATAATTTTTCTTTTTTTGTGTATCTGTTAAATGTTTTGCTTCTTTTTTCCCCTTGATTTCCTCCCTCCCACTCCGCCCTTTGTCCACTCTCCTCCCACACTGTCTCTAGTATCCACAGCTGCTCTCCATACTTTTATACCTTGCAAAGATTCACAGCCAAAACATCAAAAGATTGCAAGGTTGGGACCAGCAGTTTGCATAATGGCTATGTCATTGGACTCCCATGTAGTTAACCGCGGTTTGAGTCTCAGACCTGGTGGCTTGAACTCACACTGGGAATGTGTGTGTGCATACCCAAGATCTCGAGAGGAGAATGGAGGAGAAGGGATTGTGGCATGGCCATCCTCCCAGGGGGTGATTTCTTGCTTCCTGTCTCTCTGTCTCTCTCTGTCTTTCTGGCAAGCACACACGCCCTATAGCGAAAACTCTCCAAAAAAAAAAAAAAGATTGCAAGGTATAAAAGCATAGTTTTCTTTAGGGCACTATGTTTAAGGTCACAGTTTTTGGAGACTGACGAATTGATCTCTGAATCCCAGTTTCAGTGCTATTCTTTGGTCTCTATGCTTATCAACAACAAAGACTTAGAAGGCTTAGCCTAAACTCTTGATAACACACCCACTCCTCTGTTCATGCTCCTAACTGCAATGGCCCAATCAAGGGGATTAAAAACTAAGGTGGACAGCAGATGATGTAGTGGTTAAGGCACTGGACTCCCATGTGGTCTACTACACTTTGAGTCCTGGACCCAGAGGCTTGAAACTACACCAGACATGGTGTGCATGGGTGCCCAAAATCCAGAGAGGAGAATGAAGGAGAAGGGATTGTGGCATGGACATCCACCCAAGGGGTGATTTCTCACTTTCTGTCTCTCTGCATCTTTGTCTCTTAAGTGAGTGCACTTTCCTTATAGCAAAAATCTCCACAAAACCAAAAGAGAAAAACAAAGGTGGATTAGGTCTTAATAGGAAGATCTCAGCCCTGTTTGTCTAATAATGGTACCAAGTTGTTTAAATATATATTAAGGATGGAAAGACAAGATTCCAACACTTTCCATAAATCACTTTTCTGAAGAAACTTTCAGCTCAATTCACCCTGCATTCAGGATATTTTCCCATTCATCTTCCACACTCAAACTACAACCAGACAGCAGTTAGCCTTGTCTATCATCAGCCTGCACAAACAGGAGGCTGATCACCCTATCTCTTGGTATTACAAAGGCTGTGAGGAAGCTAAAATTAAAACCTGGTGTCTTTAACATACCAAACCAAATACAAAGGAAGCCACATAAAGTTAAGTTCAAACCCTCGTAAAGTTTCTATTTTACAAAATAAAATACCACAAACATTAGTGAGAGACCATGAGATGAACCATTAGACATCACAGTGGACATAGTTTGGACATACATACTTTTTCTCACCAAACGGCTTCTGGAAGCATCATGGGAACTCTGATTACTGTTGGTCGTTACTAGATAGTTGCCCTGACTTTATAACCCAGCAGCCATATATTCATATTTTCTGAAACCTAAAAAAAAAAGAATTTTATACAGTTTTTAAAGATAGCCCATCTGGTTGCTCCAGGAGTTAATAAGGGACCCACAAATTATTTTGACACCAGAAGTGTTCACTACTAGATGTGTATGTGTGTGTGTGTGGGGGGGAGTTTTCCATTTTTGCTTTTCTCTTTGCTTAGAGAATTAAAGAACTATTAATTCTTCAATGACTTATATTTAGCATATGTCTACTCTGTCAGGCACTGGGCAAGGTACTTGGCTTGTTACCTCTAATGTGCATCAATCTGAAGACAGGTCACAATCTCCAATGCTCTTTTACAGTGGAGGAAACTGAGACTCAGAGAATCCAGATACTTTGCTCAAGATACAAGCAATGGCTAGTAAATGATGGAAGCCAGGATTTGAACTCAAAGGTGCTGACTCACGAGCTTTGCCACTAGGTACAATGATCTTAATCTACCAGAATATCCTAATCACCACTTTGACCTTAGACACCCTCACTACATCTTTTCTTTCATAACTTGGAATTCCTGAGGCTTTACTGCCACCAGAAAAGGCATTAGTCCTTCCAGAGGCTTTACTGCCACCAGAAAAGGCATTAGTGTACAACTAACTCTATTTTACAATAGTCTGTAAAAAGCTCTGGAAAATTTGTGCCAAAACTGAAATAGTTGCTTTAGGCAACCTCTCAGTGTTCGAGTAACAATGTTAAACCAGCCCTGTTTATTCATATCCTCTTCGTGGATATATGAGGATATCCCCAAAAAAAGTGTGTGGAAAAACTGGATTTTAGTACAAGAAAGTACAATTTTAGTACAGAAAGAAGTTTGAAATCCATGTTTAGTTTCCCCATAATATGCATTTTCCACGACCCTTTGGAGTTCCTTATATTTAAATAAATGCATTCTGACTGCTCTGTCCCAATGCAGTGTTCTTCCTGTCAGAAACTTCAGGTTCTGCTGAGGCTAAGGAAGGCACTGGTGATAGCTTCCCTTAGCGTTTTCCAGATTTAAATTATTCCTATGCTGCAGGGAGGAAATTGAGGGTCATGAGAAAAAGGCTATTTTCAAGAAGGCCTGATGTGCCCCCTGATATGGTATGAAATGTGACTTACGAGGAATTCTTGTTGAAAAAAAATTGCATCTGAATCAAATCAAACTGACTGGAGTATAGATCTAACAATGTAAGAGAAAATCTCCTTGCTGTGATCATATATATGACACAGAGATGATCTCTCTATTGGCAATTTTTATGTCCACCGTTGATAAAAGCAAAGAATGAAACATTTAAAGGGTAATTCAGTAAAAACTTTCTATAGGTGTGTGAATTGATGAGGTCTATCCAGGATATATCTTCCTGC